ATTCGCAGCGCATGGAACTGGGACCTTCATCTAAAGTGGCTGTTAGACTGTAGCCCGAACCTAAGCAGAAAGATTTGGACGATAGTCTCGGTTAAAACAAAAAGATTCTATCTGAATCAAAATCGGTAAAGAATTATGGAGTAGCCTATGAACTTCAATCATTTCTGGTGGCATCGGGCAATGACCGCAATGGTCAAAGGTTCTGTCGCCAGAAAGGGCAAATTCGAATTTCACAGGTAACTGAAAATTTCAGTACGTATTTGGCGAATAATCTGACACAAATTCAGAAATGATGGAGTGGTTGTGCAGAGTGCACTCCCAGTAGTCCACCGGAAAATAATGGAGGGAGCTGTTCGGCATGGAAGGGGCATTTGCACTTTCGCTAGTTTCTTTTGCTAGTTCATGTCAAATAACAAGGACCTGATGATACCTGTGAATACTTGTGCAGCTGCGAAATGGTAAAAGTGAGCAGCATTGATCACAAGAATTTACAGGTTCTCACAAAGTGGACTGTGCAGGCCTCGCTGGGTACCTCTGGGTGCCCTGCAAAGCGAACTGCGCCCAATAGAGTAATCCAAAATGTCTGTCGAAAATATGAACCGCATCTTGTGTTATGACGATTACTTTGGAATTTACCCAAACAGTAAAGTACCGAAACAGCAAAAATGGTGAATGTGAATTTTAATAGAGAAGAGACTGCTATTCTATGGAAAATCAAATAAGTGTGGGCCGTTATGGGATGAACTGCGGAGTGATGACCTTCAGATTATATATGTTGTCCGCACTGTTATTTCCAGACGGTTACGCTTCATCGCATAGAAAGTGATACCTAATCGGATCCGATCCATGTGAAACAAGAGAAATCCCGTAGTTCTGAATCGATTTCCTCGAGATTTAATGATACTACACGACAATTATCAGGTTCTTGAATCAAAAGAGCAAATATTATAGGATTCTGAAGAATATTGAGCGTATTCGGTGGTAGGACGGGACGGTATATGCCTCAGAGAAAATGGTTTTTGGTCGCTGGCGTTTCTAGCCTTTCTCCGTTTCACTTTTTTTCTTTCCTACCTCCCCCACCCCTCGACAGCAACTTTGTGGGCGAAAACTCCCAAAAAGTGGTAGGAGGCTGGGAAGAGGATAAGTTGGATGAGAGATGGGGAAGGGGAACAGGGATCGTGTGGGGGGGGGTCCCATTTTGCAAAGATTACACCCTAACGGCACTACATGCCCTGATTCTTGTAGCAATTTCCTGCTCTCAGAACGTTGGAAAGCTCAGATGGCCCAACCGATGCCAAATAAAGGATTGATTACCAGCCAGTGCATGTGAAAAGCGGCTTTGCTCCTCTTTACTGCCTTCAATGGCGCGCAAGTTACCACCGGAGATCTTTGAACTCCAATTAGCTCTTGGGGCAAAGAGGTCTGCTTGGCGAAACTGATTGCAGGATCAACAGGACGATCGAGATCAAGCAGGCAGCATGCATCGGACGGCAGTCACATTGTAACGTCACTAACCACGCTATGATGGGGTGATGTCGGCACAGTCCGACGGGGCGGGTTTAGGAGCCGTAGACAAGAGCTACTTCCGCTCTGTTTTCTGTCACAACTAGTTCGTGAACGGGCGCAAAGCTAGGGACAGGCAGCGACATTCCTCTGAGGCATGCACGCGTCCCGTTCAACACGTTACGTTCAATACGCCTTTCCCTTCGCTGAGGTGGGCAGATACTTGGGCAGGGCTGGTCATTGTATAAGCTGAGAAGGGTGTCTAACAGGTGCCGGAGTTCCGAATAAGACACTAGTGGGTGGCGCATCCAGCACTAATTTCGAAGGGATCTTCTTCAGAATCCTGTAATATTTGCTCTTTTGATTCAAGATCTGATAATAGTCGTGTAGTATCAATAAATCTGCCGAAACCAAAACAACGGTGGAAGAAAATGCCGCGGATGAGCCTATTCCACGTCTGCCATTCGTCTGAGCTCTTCACCGTTCTGAGAACTTCTCAATCTACAATAGCCCACTTCTGTTCTCGTCCACTCTAAGCGGTATTTGTCTGTGCTGCCGATTACTCAGATAGCCGGGATCGGATTGCTTTCAATCTGCACCCACAGATGGCATGTGGCAGGTAAATCTTGCGGAAGTGAAGGTCGTCCTGGGTGCATGTGCACCACAAGAACGCTAGGAATGCAGGTAATTAGGGCGAATATGGTCTGTCAGTGACAACTGACCCTACTTTTATGCTGCGAGGAACGGAAACGGGGAAACCGACACTGGACGGGTTCTGTCATAGAAAACTCTCTGCGGAGCAGTTTATGTCCCTGGAACTCGTTCGTTTTTTTTTCGACGGACCGTAACGTTTTTTTCGACGACGGATATAAAAAAAGATATCTGATAAGAGCAGGGTAACAGGTGCACGGAAGATTTATCTGCGCTAATAGCCTTGGGGGGAGGCAGACCTGTGCGTGAACGTTTCTCTACATGTCAAATCCTGCAAACTATGTACATGTGAATGGCGGACAGCCTCGTCAACATCATGTAAGCCATGTTACCACTTGTAAAGGACTTTGCAAGCTCCTGCCAAACTTGTCAAAACCAGTGGTGAAGATATGTGTGAAAAAACTGGATGATTGGCATTCTAACGACGCTAGTATTATTTCGCCAAGATTGACAACAGTTTGCAGGGTAATTGACAAGAGTTGAAGGGCTTGCAGGGTTAGACCTAATTGCGAA